TATTTAAGGATTCTACAGTGAAGACACCAAACCATTTCAGGAAAGCAAAAGATGTGCTAAACTGAGGAAATGGGGCCACCGAAGATGATAACCCATTGTTTCCATGAATCTTTTAGACAGCACTCCCTGGGATAAGTTTATCACACTTTTGTGCAAAAATAATTATGGTACGTGGCATAAATCCTTGCAAATCTAATTAGGCAGCAGAAACATGGTGGAACTCAGAAAAATGCAGCTTCTGCAACAAAAACAAATAACAATGTAAAGATAACTGTACTATTCCATGATTTTTAAAAAAATCAAACTCTACAGTTGGACAATTTCTTTATTAGGACCAACCAAAATTCCACAAGTACAAACTGTCCAGAATTAATCTATTTATATTTAGCCATGCAAGGCATAATCTACCACCAGGAAAAAAAAAAATCATTTCCTATCACCTGAAGAGGGACTTTGGATTGGGAATTCTGTCTCCAACTATTGCATGATACTCATAATTTGATCGTGATTAACTTTTTTACCTAGTGCACCATGTAAAATTAATCCATGACTTTGCTAATATGAGGACTGCCATGCTTCTTTGTTTAGAAACCTGTGTGTTTCACCATGGTCAGAAACAGATTATTTACAGTCAGACTTTCTTGTTTTCAGAAATGGAGATCAACCATTGTTACATCTCTTTCCCAAACTGCATTGCTAGCTGTAATCAGATACCTGTAACACCAACTATTCATTTGTTCAATCTAAAGTCTTTGGACTTTATAGTCACCACATCTAGCCTTAAAAAAAATTTTCTGCCCTTCTCAACCTCTTTCAGTTTCTTATATAATCTAGCCTGATGAAACTGAATTTTGGAGAACTTAAAAGCTTGCACATGTAATACAGCCTAGCATTTCCCAGATCTCATGCTCATTTTAAATAGCATATAAACCAGAAAAATTATGTTGTCCCTGCCACATGGTTGAATTAGGGGTGGTGCTGGAAATTTGTAATGAAAAGATGGTATCATGGAGCACTCTGCGGTCAAATTTAGGCTCCTTGCAAGTTAAATTGGATTCCTCTGGTGCTCCATAGTTGCTATGGAAGATAAAAGACTCGAAGACACCCTGCAAACAACCCAAATTCAAGCTGTGTAGTGCTGCATAGCTGAACTTCACTGGCAAACTGCTATTCAAAATAAATCCATCAATCAGCATCCTGAGAGGGTCCAGACTGCAGCCCAGGAGGGCTAGGCCTAGAAGGCAAGAGTTGCTCCTGGACTGCTTGCTGTTGGCTGCCCATTCTTGGGGATTCAAACCTGCTTTCTTTTTGCAATTGTCTTAACTGGGATGGGGCAGAATCTCCTTTAAATTTCTGTTGGCAATTTGGGAACTGTGTTTTTGCATTTGATGTAAATGTCTATGATTAATGACAAATATGCATCTGCAATAGTGTGCCATTATTAGTCACCACAGCAATACAGGTATGTGTCAGCAGAGGGCATGCATTCATTCTAAAAGACATGCATGTAAAATACACCCTTGAAATCCTGTTACAGAGGCTTAATTTTCACTGGGGTAATAAACCTATGTCATTTAAAGACTGCAGGTGGGATCGTACTAAACAAAATAATCCCTCCACGTGGAAAATGAGATCTTAGAGGATTTTTAGCTTAGATTTCTTCAGAAGTGCAAGATTGCTGCTTTTAATGGTATATTCCGCACACGTAGCTGTGTTAATCCAAGCCTTCCCTAACCTGGCTCCATTCAGATGTGTTGGAACTGCAGCTTCCATAATTCCAAACCAGCATGGCTGCGGGGTCTCCTTTTGAAGGGTTGTTCACCCCAAACCTGTTGGGTAAAGAACCATAAGAAAGGACAACAGGGATCAAAGATCTTCAAAGTTCTCCTTCAGAGCACTTGGGAATCAGACTGAGCAACAGGCACATGCAGTAAGCTGTGCTACTTTTCTGTTCGTGGCAGAAATTTCTAAATTTCCATGAGCATCAGCAAAGGTTATGTAAATCTACATGGTGTGGATTTACATAACCACAGAGTAGTTATGTGGTTATGTAAATCCTACTACTCCAGAGTAGTTCAAGCACTGAGGCTTGCCATGACAAGTGCGGAGCTGTCCCAGCATGTCATCAGCACAATGCATTTGGCAGGACACACTTTTGATTTGATATTCGCTACTGAATAGGTGAATGATGATCTAGAAGAGGGAGACATAGCCTGGGCCACTTTGTCATGGCCAGTTCACATTCTGAAGTTTATCCTTCTCCAAGGGCAGATAATTAGAAAGGTCTGCCCAGAAACTGATGGAGCCCAACGGATTCCTAAGGGCTGATATGGCTTGCATGCCTGTCATAGCCTTAATCTTTCAGTGGGATATGGAAATGACCAGGTCGATTGATACGATGGCTCCAGACCAGTCTTCCCTTTGTCAAAATCCATTTCGCACCATGTTATACCAAGGAAAGCATCAGGGAAGATAGCTTGAACGTGGATGGAGGAAAACACATGATCAATTTGAACACAGATTAATAGCTCTTTATTAACCGTACTATTCAGCAGTGAGGGCAGCAAACCATGTCTTTTCCATTGTCAGTGTCACTCTGCAGAGCAGAAAACTTAGGAAAGTTAGAAGCCTTTTATAGGCTACCCATGCAAAATTTCTTAATTGATTGTTGTGAGTAGTTCACGGTGCATTTTGAGGATGAATTTGCCTAAATCCATGAGCTGAGGATAACGTCGCTCAAATCCATTATGACTTGGATTCCACAGACCATACTTCTACCACCTTATGCCCTTCAGATGTTTCAGAATACAACTTCCAGCATTCCTGACCATTGCCCATGTTGGCTGGGTCCAGTGGGAACTGAAGACCAAAATATGTGAAGGGCAACAGGTTGGGGAAGGCTGCCATAGACTATGCAAACCAGATGGTGGTGTCCAGTGCAGTCTTGCCCAGTTCTATGGGATGTTTCAGTGGTCAAGAACTGGACATCCACCCAACTACCTTTGCTCATGTTCCATGGCCATCTTGGCTGATTATAGCTGGTATATAAGGACTTGGATCAAGGGGGTGATGAATGTTACCAACATACTTTAAAAAGACAATACTTTAACGTCTCTTGAAGAAGCTGGTCCTTAGTAATTTTAGAACAGTGGTCAATCTTCTACTTTTTGGGCAAGGTGTCTGAGCAGTTGATTGCTGCTCAACTTCAGGCACTTTTGGTTGATACTGATTATCTGGACCATGAAGAATTCTGTGGTTGACAGACAATGCAGAAGAGTTCATCTCCAATTTATTAGTTCTTATTAGGAGACACTCTTTCTACATAACCACCATCAAAGCTCCTATTCTTCTGAAGTGGCAGCCATTTCAGAATCCTAAAAACACAGAACCTCCCATATACTGATGTGCTGTCTCCCATGTAAGTGAGGAAATGCAGGTGTCAAGCTGGGAATTTGAACTTTAGGCCACCAAACAGAGCAGGAGGAAATCTTTCTTGACTGGTAGCTATATGGTTACAAAACCAGGCTACCATGAAAGTGCATCAGTCAGCTTGAGAAGGGTAGGCTGTAGTAACAGATCAGTTTTTTAACAACTATTTTTATGGTGTTCTAACTTGGGGAACTGAAACTAAGCTTGCCTAGAACTTCTGTGTCTTGGTTGCATAAAGATGCTGTCTGTAACCTGAAACATTGCTAGGAAAGGGGCTTGATTGCTAGACTACATAGCATGGCTAGGGCTGGGCACCAGACAAGTAGTTCAGAGTAATGTGAAAACTCACGTCCTACATTAGTTGGTCATGTTCACACCTTCTTACAGAGCCTGTGGTTGATTATTGAGCATTTCATCACTGATAACTAGTACTTCATGACTGAGAATGTATTAAGAGGCTAAATGGAAAAGCACTGATAGGATCTTACTCCATTTTGTGACAATCATTCACAAGTGCAGTCTATCTATTGCAAAATTAGTGCCACATTTAGCTACTAGAACACTGGGTGAAACACAGTAACAAGGTCCACCTGCTACAGGTGAAAATTGCTTATTGCATTGCAAGCAACTAGAAGTGGGTGTAGATGCTAATGTTTGTCCATTCCTTTCCTTGAACTCCTTAGTCAGCCTGGATAATTATTTCCCATATACCTAAAGATAGTACAAATCAGTGCTTAGTCCACAAATCATGTGATATAAAGATGCATGGGGTTAAAATTCTGTAAAACAGCATTATTAAAGGAGTACAATGAAAATACAGCAAGAACTATATAAGGCCTATATCTTTACCTAGATCACCCATCTACTGCTGAACTTCCATGTTGTGTTGGCATAGCAAAGCAATAGGTATCAAGTCTTCATCAATTCTAGAAATACGGCTGTGGCTGACTGCATGTTGCAAATGGGTTTATTCCAGCAGAACAGACTACCACCACTCAGACATTCTAGTATCAAGCTTGGAGTGAAGCATTTACTATACTTTTGCTATACATTGCTCTTTAGTACAAGCTGTAATTGAGACTGGCACAGTGCTGGTATGGGTGCTTACTCTTTTCCCTGGCACAAGCCAGTTAGTGTTATCCTCTCCATGTTGCCTCTTTGCAATGGGATGTAATCAATGCACTTGCTTCCCACTGTAAACAACAGAAGGAGCCACACTCTCTGGGTCTGCAGTAGGAGGACCAATGGTTAAGCCCTCACTCCCATCATCTCAGTCTGCCTTCCCTTACTCCCTGCCAGCAATTTTTGTAAAAATTATGTACACCAGGCCAAACCACATAAATAAAATCTCATGTTATTTGGGCCATGTTGAAAGTCACAAAAACTCAACCACTAATTCAACCCCACACACTCCAAAGATCCTTTCTGGAACAAGATCAAAATGTTAGGATCTCTGTTGTTACTGAAAGCAGTGCTCCATTCATTGTAGTGTATAATACAGTTCTGTGCATCAGTACTAAATTATACTGTGGAATAAGTGGTATGAAGTACATAACCATGCAAAAAAACAGCATAGTCAAAAGCTAGGCTTTATTTCAGTTGATGTAATGTACAGTATCAGCAGAGAATTTAACAGTGGGTAAAGCTTTGACATGACCTTGGATTAATCCAATTTTAACAGAAGGAAAAGAACACAAGCAAAGAAGTTAATGTTGACTAACATTTTAAAAAGATTTACCTTAATAGTTTCCATTTCAGAGAATTCCTTGCATTATCTAGTTTAGGCTCTGGAATAATGCAATATATCCATAATAATCTTCTAAACATACTTCCAAAATTTAGAGTTTCAAATATCCTATCATAAAATACCAGTTTGAGGTAGTGCTCAGCCTGAAATCAGACCATGTATGCCCATTAAATTCTCAGACTGTGGGATTCAGCTCAACAGCCTGTCTTTCCTCAAAGTCATGAACACTATAGAGTTGCTTTGCAGAGTATTGCACAGGAATGGGGCAGTGGGAAGGATGAAGCCCAGTGAATACTTCAGGCTGCTTCCCTCCTCACAATGGTTTAAGCCTCAATCCCAAAATAAAGGTGGAAAATCTTTTCTAGTTAATGGCTTTTCATGACACAAAGATTTGCAGAAGTTACACAAATTTTCACAAGCAGCCCTACAGAACAGAGGGAACTAGAGTAAGATCATACTTTGAACTGTGGAGATTAAGCTAGCCATTAAGAGGACTTGGCTTTAATACCCATGCAAACTTTTACCATAAAGAAATTAGAAGCCATACTTACCTCTCTTGGAAAACAAGCTCAAGGATATTCCTTCCTCCTCATAAAAGCCTTGTGCAAATTGTTTTTTGAATAGCATAGTCTTACTCTGCTAAACAAATTTTAACTTACTATTTTCAGGTAAATTTTTGTAGCCTGTGCCTTGATTACTAGGTTGTATCAATGTTTCCCCAAACCATAACAGATGACCATATATGATTCAGGTTAGTCAAAAGTCATCAGAAACTTGGCATAGCATGGCAGAGTATAGCATGCTTCTTGGGATAAAAAAGATGAGAAATGTATTAACAGTATTTAAAAGCTTTTAAAGAAGTAATATTAAAGCCTTTTATACTGTAGTTACGTTATATCAGTCTGCCACATTGATACCCTTCAGCATGCCTTTTTATGCACCACTTTACACAAAATCCTCCCAGATGTATACAAAGGAATATTTCGTACAGCAGCCACTACTAAAGACATTGTGAGGCAGTGTCAAATAGGGGGAGAGCTGGCTGACTGTAGTATTGATTCGTACAATAAGGCATTATTCCATGTTCAGTCTGAAACCGGAGGAGTGGGGGAGCTGGGGGCATAATTCAGCTTGTTACCATACAGGCACAACTGCTCCTATAGCAAATTTACAAGTTGCCTGCACAGGTCTATGTTTTGACTCAAGGACAAACAGAATTTCACATATGTACTATTGAGAGATAACAGCTACTAATTGAGTTGTTACATGGCCACCTGTATCATCCTGATTTTTCTTCTAAAAAATATAGAACGAAGTCTAGATTAAATTTCAATTTCTGTGATGAGCTATATTAGGGGTGGGCAACATGTGACCCTTCAGATGCTTCTGGACTCAAACTCCCATCATCCTTCATCATTGGCTTTGCTAGAGGGCCACACACTTCCCCATGTTTGGTGTACATGTACTGACATTGACATTAAGTTGAGCTATACCAGAGCAGTTTTTAATATGAAAAATTAGTAAAATATATACTTTAAAAAAGAAAGTTACATGTGTTGTGATCATTCTACAGTCCCAGCAATTTGATCAACATTTTCCCCTTACTATTACTACATCATATGGATCAAAACAATTTTAGAAACAGTGTTGCCAGGATGCAGCACTGACAACAGTGACTGTTTAAACAAATACACTGACAAACGTCAAAGATCTTCCTTCCTCTTCCTAATAGCCTTGAACAAATTGTTGGATTTTAAGAACTAAACAGATTCCTGCTTTCATTAAAGGTTAATATAGCTTTTCATTTTAATATTGCAGAATAGGGCTTTTAAGAAGGTACTTGAGATCAAGCCTATAAAAATCCCACTTGCACACTATAAAAAGTTCCAGTGTCACTTTGAAAGGTCATAATGTTATGACTGTATGCATATTTTGCAGTAATGTAAGCCACCAAAGTTTAGACAGGCACTTAACTTTATACCCCAAGACAAACTGCTTCACAGAGTGTGAAGCAAAACTGATGCACACATTTCTAACTTGTCTTGTGAATCAAATCTAGGCTTAGTCATACGTAGAGTAGACTCATTAAAATCAATGGGATTATAGTCAGTCAAATTTAAGTGCATTTATTTCAACGAATCTACTCTGGATACAACTCAGTGTACTGGACAAACTGTACTTAAGTGGTAACTATGAAATCTTAACTGAGATGGGTACATGATTTCAATCAGCAATATCAGAAAGCTTTTTAACTCCATTAACAGAATGCCATTTTCACATCAGTTGCTGCTTGAGAACTGGTTGTTCTCTCTCATCCCCTTCAAGCCAGCTTCTCCCTAATCAGCGGACAAACCTCAGTGTAACTGATAAAAAGGAAACTATTTGAAGCAATTATTGTGATCATGACAACACTTTTTACTGTTTATTTGGTGTGAGGGCTGGAAAAAGAGTGCGAAATGTGTAAGAGATGCCCAAGGATGTTGGGTGGGAACTGCAGGCCTTTTCTGTCTAAGCATAAGTAAGACTGTACCCTATTGTATTTCAAATGGATTTTGGCATTACGCTGAAATATAGTCGGCTAGATCCAGAGCACACACTTGCCTCCATTAGAGGAAATGTCTCGAGGGCCAATCCATTATCTCTGGCATGCATTTGCTATCCACTATGACAACCAATAAACATTTTACCCTGTATACTTATTATGTTCAGTCCTTCATTTATGAAAACATAGATGCTATTCAAAGCCTTAATTAGAAGCCAGCATGACTTTACTTAAAATGAAAGTATGTACTAACAGAATGTTTTGGATCCAGCTGACTCTCTACAGTAGAAATGGATGATGAAAATAGCCAAGAGCTCTGGAGAAAGGGGGAAAAGTAGTCAATATAATAGAAGGAGCAGATTTTGGCAAGAAGCTATAGTCACATTGGGAGTTCTGCTCTCTTGCTTTTTTCCACTGAAAATGGACTATTCAAGAATGTATCATTTATAACTTGTAAGAAAAAATCAGTATCAAGTGTAATTTCTTAATTGAGTTGAACATATCAGCATCTAAGTATTCACAATACATTATACATTATACAATACTCCCAGACAATCACAAAAACAAGCAGAACAAGTAAATTATGTAAGGCTTTAAAATTAGAAGCACAGTGTGTATTTGAGTATTACTTTGTTTACAAATTAGGCTACATTTTAAATCTATTTTATATTTTATTCAAGCAAAAATGTATTCAAGGGAAAGGCAATTAATTTTGCTATGAGTTGTCAACATTCTTTTCACTATATAGGAGTACATTAGTAGAATTCTCATAATAGCTGAAACAATTAGTCCTATACTTACAAACATTCAAATCAAATCAGAATTGACAACTACAACTTTGCATAGTTGTCAGTACAAGAAAGTAAGATAACCATTAGGGAGGTTCTTATTATCACAGGGGTTCTTTACATGATCATTTCAAAATGGCCACCAATACCTTCTTACTGATTTCAGAGAAACCGCTGAAGTATTGCATTTACTTGCTTTCATATGGACCCTGTCAAAAGGAGTGGTAATAAGAGAATCAAGATTTTGTGCCTTTGTTTTGCAAAGCAACAATGGCCAATTAAACATGTTTGGCCATTAATCATTCTCGAAAGAGGAAAACAATGAGAATAATTCATGAAAGACAATAAAACATTTTTACTTGCTCCCTATATAATAGGGCCTGTAAATTCCAGTGGTTGTTTTCATTCTTTCTTAATCCTTCAAATGTAATGGCTACTTGGACTTTACAATGCTTCAATTACACCTGTACAACAGAATAGGTCAAAGTACAATTTGAGATGTTTTAAAAATATTATATATATAAACTTGTTTCTGATATGCTAAAGCATTTGGCAACACTTTTACAGCATTGGATTTTACATAATTAAAATTTCACTTTCTTCCTTATGATTTTTGTACATCTTAAGAAAAACTTGCAAATTGACTTATGTATAGTCTAAGAAAACTTGCACAAAATATGTGAACTACACAAGCTTGTCCACATCATCAGTTGTTCCAGTTAATACTGGTATTAAAACCTTCATTAATTATGTTTACAAATCATTACCTGTACATGTATGAAGGCAACTGATCTGATTTGAAAACAAAACCATCAGGTTTTATGCTGTGGCTATCAAGATTTGCAGTTCTGTAAAGAAATTCAACAGCAAGTAACTATATAAAGCAATTTACAAATTCACCAGTTCCTGTGATACAAACTGTTTTAATCTTTCAAGATATTGTCCATAAAGCTCAACATCATTGTGTCCTGCACCTTCTACCCACAGTGGTTCCACAGGTCTTTGGCAGCGCTCAAATAAAGCTAGGCCATGTGAAAAGTCAATCACTTCATCTTCAGTCCCATGGATTATTAACACTGGAGAGGTTATTTTAGAGATCTTGTCAATGCTACAGGAATACAGAAAAAGAAATCAGAATGCAAGAGTATTCAATGTCACCGATAGCGTATGATAATTTATTTATGCACAGTAGCTTTAAATGTAATTTAAAATATCTCAAGCTTACCATACTAAGTTAACACCATGCCAAGAGAGACTATTTAGTAGAGGTATATGTAATTCATACAAAAATCAGTTAGGAAAAACAATACAGTGTTGGATCCAGAATGCACTTGGGAGTTCTGCTTGGGAATGCAGCAGTTTACTTCCATTCCCCCTTTAGCCTCAGCACTCCTTACCAAACTGTTCCCGAAAACTGGGACACACCCTGGAACAGGGTGAAAGGTCGTACTGGGGCTATAGAAAAAGGATGAATTGCTGTCCTTTCCCCTTCCTCCAGGATGAAACCTTCACAGGATCCCAGTTCCTTCTGCAAGCACAAGGAACCTTTTTGTTCCGATGGGCAAGTCTGTATGCAACCCCTAGATTTTAATCAAATCTGTTCAAAATTAGTTTGAACAGTCTTATTTACAGTAAAATCAGTCAAATGATACTGAAGCCTTCTGTTTCTAGATTACTGACACCTCTTCTGTGTGAAGAGGATACCAGGTGTCTCTTCTCCACTCTAAGCCCTTATAAATGCACTACAGCTTACTTTGGAAATGCATCAAAGCAGTAGGTCTTCTTAGTATCAGGAAAAGCTACTCTCATCCCTGAGGTCAGAGGAGAATGCAGAATTACAGCAGCACTTTCATAACGAGCAGCAAGATCCACAGATGGCACTGTTCCTATGCTTTGGCCATATATAATCACATTTTCAGGGCGAATTCCATACCTGCAAAAGTAGTATGTTATTTCAAATTGAATAGATATCCCATGAATATAGCTTCTATAAATACAATCATACATGTTGGAAAGCCCTAGAATAAAAGAAAATCTGAAGCATACATCATTTTTTATTTTTCATTAAGTGTAACAAGATTGAAAGATAATACTTAAATTCTGCAAATACTGACACTTATAAGATAAATATTTTTAAAGTGACCTTTTCTAAAACTATTTTGCTTCAAATGCTGGAACATAATGTTAAAAAAGGAATTAATTTCCCAGGAACATGGAAGCCTTAGGGTACACTCAAGTAACTTTTTGGGATCTATTTATAAAACTTGTATAAAAGCCACCCATTAGCATTATGCTCTCTAGGTTACTATTACAATAAAAATGCCAATAATAACATTAAATAATTCAGTTAAAATATTACAATAAACAAGATAAAATGTAATATATATAATCAGATATATGTAAATCAATAAAATTAATAAATTAAAACCAGTGTCATCAACATTCAAGTAGTGCCACAGGTGCATAGAAAAAGCTTTAATCAGGCACTTAGTAAAGTAGATCCCTGTTGAATCTCGAATGGCAGGGTGCTGCACAACTGGGGTGCCACCACAGAAAACGCATGCTTAGCCAGAAAAAACTCAGTAACACATTACAGCAGGATTGGGAAGAAGGTGGACTTGGATCAAAGGGTTGGTCTCTGGTGGTGTGCAGTACATCAGCAGTTTTCAACTCCCACTGGTTACACAACAATTATAATGGAAGTCCTTCCTTTTCTCCTAAATTTGACTTTTGAAATTACAAAAACAGAGTTTGCAGTAAAATAGTAGTAAATTTGTGCACATTTGCAGTTCAGGTACTGAAAACAATTTCCTGGGCTAAACGGGTGCATAGACTAACTCTGCAATTTTATGTCTTTCTGAGCCACCATTTTGTACCTCTGGTCAGTGGAATTCAAGAGTCAGGGTGAAAAGCAAAGTAGATCCTGCAAGCCAAATATTTGCTCGCCCCTGCATTATAGACCAAATTGTTGATGAACCTTCTTAGGCAAGAGTCAAACACATCCAGCATCAGAGAAAGTTAACTTACTTAAACTTCATGTCACAATAAGCACTTTGGGTACAGGACTGAGCCCTTACTAGGCAGTAACTTTTCCTCCTTATATAGTTTCAGAGGGGCAGGTTTCTTACCTGCAGCTGTTGTTCTTCGAGCGGTCATCTGTGCATTCACACCTATGGGCTCTATGCACATGTGTGGAGCTGTTTTGGGAAGATTCCAAAACTGATTAATTAGTATTCAGTGGGAGCTCAGCCCCTAGATGCACCTAGTGTGAGGGAAGGGGCTCCCACCGAGATCTCAGTTCTGAACAGCGAGACCGCCCTTTAGATATGAAACATGTCAAAGCTATGTCAGAGAAAACTATGACACCAGCAGGGATGGTGGGTGAGTATGTGTGAATGCACAGATAACCACTTGAAGAACGACAGTTACAGGTAAAAAACTTTCCCTTATTCTTTGTGGTCTCCATGCATCACACATATGGGCAACTGGCAAGTTCACCTCACAGAGGAGGGTGATGTCACTCAGCAGAGCAGACAAGACAGGATGGCTCTGCCAAAGGCACAGTCCTCTCTAGCACTGAGAAGAAAATGGTGGATGAAGGTTGAGGAATTTCACCATGTCGCCACTCCAGAGGGATCGGTGAGGGACACTCTGTGAACAAGGCTGTGGAGGGTGCTGTTGCTCTGGTATAATATGTTCTGATGGGGACTGAGAGTTGGAGGCTAATGCTCCACGAATGTCCAGATAATGGAAGGCTAGCTCTACTGGGTTGGAAGGGTTTTGAAAGAAAGCTGGGAGGATAATCATCTCATTGAAGTGGAAAGAAGAGGCTATTTTTTGGAAGGAATGTGAGATCAGGGCAGAGTATAACCTTGGGTTTATGAAAATTGAAATAGGAGGATCAATTTGAAGAGCACTGACTTTGGTAGCTTGGTGGACCAAAGTAATAGTTTTTAAGAAAGCCATTTTCCATGAGAGAAGGTGGAGATCTGTGAAAACCATAGGTTCAAATGGCATCTTGGTGAAAGCATGGAGGATGATGGAGAGGCTTCATAGGGGAGTAGGTTTTTTGAAGAGTGGGCCCCGGTTAAGGAGACCTTTAAGGAACTTCTGAATGAAAGGGTACTCATTTGTACAAGGAGTTGAGAAAAAGGAGGATTTGGACAGAAGCTATGATTGGAGAAAAACCATGCTTCAGAGCAAAGGTAGAGAAGGCTGACCATTTAGAGTCACATGATTTAGGCACAGAAGGTTTGAGAGCTGCACCAAGAATGTATTGCAGTTTAGGGGGCATGTCCACTAGTGAGGAGGACATGGTCCAATTTTGTATGTGGTGAGTCTGAGAGTGTTCACATCAGCATGGAAGACTGTCCCTCAATCCCAAGAGATGAGGTTTGGTTGGAGTGGGAGGCACATAAAGGTTCTGTTGGAGAAGTTGAGGAGGTGGGGAAATCAGTGTTGTCTGGTCCACCAAGGCGTTAGAAGAATGGAATCTGTGTGATCTTGGCAGATCTTTGCTAGAATCTTTGGAATCAGAGGAAAATGGAAGGAAGAGATAGACTAGGTTCCTGTTCTAACAAAGGAGGAAGGCTTCCCCCATCGATCCTGTGGGCTGCAAATAGTGTTGTGGTGTGTAGCAAAGAGGTCTCCCACAGGGATTGTACTACTCTATGGTGAAGCTCTCACTCGTGACATGGTGTGAAGGTCCTGCTGAGAAAGTCTGCTGGGACACTGTTGGCACTGGCAACATGGATCACAGCAAGTGTGACGCACCAGTGCCAGATCTTGGTGGCAAGGAGAGCGAAGGGGCCTGAGCTGGTTCTACCTTGTTTGTTTACATAGGCAACTACTGTGGCATTGCTTGTAATTATGCGTACATGTTGGTACTAGATTATGGTCTGGAAGACAAGGGAAGCTTTCCTTACAGCCAGAAGTTCTAAGAAGTTGATTTGAGGAGAGGCCTCTTAAGGGTTCCATCTGGGACTGAAGAGGGCTCCACAACCGAAAAGGGAGGCATCTGTGGTTATAGTCAGATGAGGTTCCTGTGTGGGGAAGGGAACATCAACAATGTATTGGCTTTGTCTGACCACCAACAGAGAGAGGTATGAATCTGAAGTCTGGTGGAGTGTGGTTTGGTTCTGGTGTTGATTAATGCTAGGAACCAGAGCTGGAGAGGCCACATGTGTAATCAAACCAGCAGGACAACAAGTATCGATGAGGCTGAGGATACGCTGTAGCAGTTGCAGAGTTTCTGCTAATAAGGAAGTGAATGTCATTGGTGAGGGTGGATAGCCTGTCTGTTGATAGGAAGGCTTCTGCTGAGATGGAGTCATGCTCCAATGAAGTAGATCAACTGTGTGGAAGAAAGACAAGAGGTGGATGCAAACAACAGCCATGCATTTTGTGAATATACTGGGAACAACTGCTAAGCCAAATGGCAGAGTGGTGAATTGGAAGGGTTCATCCCCCACTTGAAAATGGAGAAAGTACCTGTAGGGCTCAACAGAAATATGAAAATAAGCATCTTTAAGATCAATGCATGTGAGCCAAGCAACTTTGCTTAACAGTGGGAGAATGGATTGGATTGAGAACACTCTGAAACATTTAGGTTTAATGCAGTGATTGACACTTCTAAGATCAAGCACAGGGTGAAGGCCTCCATCCTTCTTCAGGACCATAAAGTACCTGGAGTAAAAACCAGGAGCTCCAGGTGGTACTCATTCTGTAACTCCTTTCGGAATAGGGAAGAAATTTCCTTCAGAAGAGCTTTGAAGGGGCCAGTCTTCTTTATGGTATCAGGGAGAGGGAGAGTCTCAAACTCAGTACGGTAACTGTGGACAGTGATGGAAAGTACCCATGAATCCAAGGTGATGGTAGTCCAAGAATGGAAAAAGGGCTGAAGGTGATGGTGAGAATATGAACTAGAGGAGTGAACGGGCTGATGAAGGAGTCACATATGTCTCCTAGAGTCAACTTGGCACCTACGCACCTGGCAGATACGAGTCATGGGATCTTAGCATCTAGTTTGGGTGGTAGAACAATGCCAAGTAGTGGTTGCAGTAGCGGTATGAGGCTGGTATGGGTAGGAAGGCCTGTGCCACTTACAAGAAGTGTAAGATCTCAACAACTGAGTCTGGTTAAATCCCATAAAACAAGCTGTATTTCTGGTCTTTTGGACTGAGTCCATGCAATTGTCAGTGCCTTTGTTGAACAGGTCCACTCCACTGAAAGGCATGTTCTCAATCCTTTGTTTCAACAGAGAGGCCAGAGGATCAAAGCTAGGCAAAGCAACGAAGGCCTAGCGCACCTGCCATGTTCCAGGTATTGCACTCTGCCTGACGTCAGACTGTATGGATTTCTTGTCTGGCCTCATTTCTAATCTTGTTGCCCAAGTCTTGGGCATACTCAGGAAGAAATGAGCAAAGAGATGCTACTCTATTCCAGAGCATTAGATGGTATCTGGCTATAGTGGTTTGATAGTTTACAATTTTGATAGATGTGGAAATCAAAATTTGATAGCTTCTGAGCGCTGTGGAAGAGTAGAAACAGCGACCGACAGCATTGAGGTGCCTGCCCTCTTTGTCTGCTGGAGTATTCTCTTCTGGACAGCCTTGAGAGGACTCTAAAATAATAGAATTGGATTGTGGGTGCTGGAAAAGAAATTCAGTGTCTTTCTCTTGGACTCGGTACATATTTTTGAGTCGTGGTGGTGGTGGTGAATCACCTACAGACACTGGTGATTTCCATTCATGGCACACTGCATCAAGGAATGTGGGTAAGAGTGGTATAGTGACTGGTCCTGTAGTCTCAGCATAGACTACCTCAAAAACTGCATCTTTTGCTCTGCTCAGTTCCTGTCTGGGGTTGAGCCTGAGGCTGTGTGCCATACAGAGGACTTGAGTAGAAGATAGTCCAATGTCCTCAGAAGCACAT